AGCGGCTCCACTATGAATCCCTACCGATAAAACTTGCAGCTCCGACGCACAGAAACACCGATAAATACAGCAATTTTTGAAACTCAATGAGCATTCACGTTGGTGTCTGCACACTCTGGCGAAAGAAGTACCAGAAAAAAACGTACAGTTTCACTTGCCGATGATGCTACCGGTGCTGGTGCTGATGACATCGGCGGTGGTACTGGTTGGAAGGCAGTGGGTGCAGGCGGTTGTTGAAATTGCGACAGCAAAGCTGGTGCTGGCGCCGTGATGGGTGGCTCTTCCGACGGCTTCTGAAACAGACAGAAATCCGGGAATGCAGACGACAAGAAAAATAGGAGATTGTGTTCAAAAACAGAATGCCCGAACTTATAACTAACAGGATCCAAATAACTAGTGAAGAGTGGAACTTGCAACTTAAGCAGAAACCGAAACAGAGTGCTCCACGGCGTATGTACGCCTTTGGATACCAAAGGAAGATCTAGATTGTTTGCGTCACTGGAAAGTATAGCATATCGAGTTCCACTGATCTTCACACTGCTGGTGTCCTAGGGATCATCCTTTCGGTCACTAGTGACTTTGCTCGCAAATGTTGGTTTCTGTTAATTACCATGACACCCTTAAACCAGTTAGCAACTAAACATTTGAAGCGTTGGCGGATAGACCAATTAACCTAATTTACTCGCTCTAAGGTCCGAAAACAAAGGCTGTACTTGACACAGTCATGACCAGTTAACCGATACTCAGGAATGAGCCTGCCAAGGAGAAATCAGTTGAAGCCGTTTACACACTGCAATAAGTGGCGCAATTCGGGGGAAGGAAAGACGTACGGTCTTAGCCTCTATAAGACCTGAGGAGTCACATAATTCGGAGATCGCGACGTTGGTATCCCGCCCGTCTCAGTCTCAAGGAAGTTAGGATCACATTAAAATACGGAGCTGTATGGTCAGATTAACGCAAAACCTCGAGTTAAATTACTCGATAGAGAACAAGTCGTTTATGTTGACTGCCAGTTCTGACTGGAACAATGAGCTACGTCCTTTTAGGGTAGCAAGATAAAATTTGCGTTCTATACTGTGGAAACGCCTGGCAGGATGCAAGTGCAAGTCTTTCATTGAGGTGGTCGACGATGAGACTTTCTGACTTCAAATAACTGATTCACTTGCACGATCAATGAGGAAAACTATTTCAGGGGCACAAGAGTACTCGTAGGAGTTGGCTGAAATGATAGAGAAGCGTGCAGTAACAACCTCAGTCCATTTTCCAAGACGCAGCATGTTCAAACGACAAAACGACTTGGGAAAACTGGAGATGATCACAACGACTGATGTAATAAATTCCTGCCTGGGCAGGCCGCACGCACTCAGATCCCACCGCGCATTCAAGCCGGACTCTGGGGATAGTCACATGGCTCTTGTTAACAAGCGCTGCTGCAAAAGCCGCGCTGGTATCCCTTGTCTTTACCGGAAATATTATCTGCCTATACGGACCGCTGTTACGGCTGTCAAGGCCTCTGGCGAGACCCAA